GCTAGGGCATGGTCGCGGTCGTGGTGGTGGAGGAGGGCTAGGGCATGGTCGTGGTCGTGGTCGTGGACGTGGAGGAGGGCATGGCCATGGGGGTGGCGGTGGCCACGGGAATGGCCATGTCAGATAACATGGAATTTCCCATGGCCAGAGTAGTTGTAACTCATTCCTGTCATCGGCCACGGCCAATTCGGCCACAACCACTTCTCTCGCTGTGGCCACTTGTTGGTGGCTGCAAAACAAAAATGCAGCCACCATTAACATTATGAGCATATTGTTCATGGTTGCCGTTTTTCGCTGAATGGTTTGTGTTATACAGTGAAGTGATATGAGCTATCTATATATAGTCATTATTATAGTTACTGTGGTAAGTAGGATTACAGTAAATTAGTTGGCTATCATACTCTGCTCCCTGTAGGTAGTAAAAGAGTGACTGTAGGACATATATCACATGCAAATAAGTTACATCCTTTCGTTTCAAAATGGGCCGTACAATTGGATAATGTTTTATACTTTTACAGTTACACAAATAGCTGGCCAAATTTCTTGCTGACCTGCTTTAACCGGTATATACAGATTATACATAATTATATAAATATATGAACTACTTATATATACCCCCCCACACACACATACCTACCGATTATTTTTAGTTTAAGAGATTAGCTAAGCAGTTATTTGGGTCCATTACATTTTTATGTTGCATTCTACTTGCATGAAGTTTAAATATGGTAGAAAATATTAAAATAATAATTAAAAACTTAGTTTAGTAAAGAACTTATCACATTTGAATTTGAATTCTTAAAATTTATAGAATTTATATACAAATAAAATAATTTCAAACAATTTAGACCGTCTTGAAATGAAAAGATTTATGTATAAGTTAAAATGGACACCACCAACAACAACAACAACAACAACGACTCAGTATAATCTTACAAGTGGGGTCTGGGGAGGGTAATATGTACGCAGACCTTACCCCTACCCCGAAGGGTAGAGAGACTGTTTCCAGGAGACCCTCGGCTCAAAAAAGCAACAGGAGCCGATATATTAGTACCATAAAAATGCATAATAAAATAACATCAATATAAGAGATATGAAATACAAAATACGAAATACGAAATAGATGACTGGTATAGTAAAACTAGCAGGTAAAGCTCTGCATCAATATACGACCAATGACATTCTTAGTCTAACTCCTAACTGGCTAGTCTCACTCTATTGTGCTGTAGAAATATTCACAACTTTCCCTAACCTACAACCTTAATGCTCGACCTCCATAATTCCCTGTCAAGGGCCATGTCCTCAGTAATCCTAAGTCACGCCATGTCCTGTCTAATCACCTCTCCCCAATACTTCTTAGGTCGCCCTCTACCTCTTCGCGTGCCCAATACAGCCAGTCGCTCACACCTCCTCACCGGGCATCAGTGCTCCTCCTCTGAATGTGCCTGAACCATCTGGGTCTTACTTCCCGCATCTTGTCCTCCATGGGGGCCACGCCCACCTTCTCTCGAATATCTTCATTCCTAATCTTATACATCATTGTATGCCCGCACATCCACCTCAACATCCTCATCTCTGCTGCTTTCATCTTCTGGATGTGTGAGTTCTTTACCGGCCAACATTCAGTTCCATATAACATGGCAGGCCTAACCACTGCTCTATAAAACTTACCTTTTAGTAACGGTGGCACTTTCTTGTCACACAAGACTCCCGACGCTAACCTCCACTTCATCCACCCCACCCCTATACGGTGTGTGACATCCTCGTCAATCTCCCCGATCCCCTGAATAACCGATCCAAGGTACTTGAAACTACCCCTTTTGGGAATGACTTGAGAGTCAAGCCTCACTTCAACTCCTACTTCCGTCGGCTCAACTCCAAATTTGCATTGGAGGTATTTCGTCTTCGTCCTGCTCAACTTGAAACCTTTAGACTCAAGAGCATGTCTCCAAATCTCTAGCCTCTCGTTGCCGCCGCCTCGTGTCTCGTCAATTAGAATAATGTCATCAGCAAATAGCATGCACCATGGCACCTCCCCTTGAATATGATGAGTCAGTGCATCCATCACCAGGGCAAATAGGAATGGGCTGAGCGCAGACCCTTGGTGCAACCCCGTAATAACTGGAAAGTGTTCAGAGTCGCCTCCTACTGTCCTAACCCGAGTCTTAGCTCCAGCATACATGTCTTTAATTACCCTAATATAGTCAACCGAGACCCCTTTATCCTCTAGGCAACTCCATAAGACCTCCCTAGGAACTTTATCGTACGCTTTCTCCAGATCAATAAACACCATGTGGAGATCCTTCTTTCTATCCCTGTACTGTTCCACCATCCTCCTAATAAGGTGGATAGCTTCTGTGGTAGATCGCCCCGACATGAACCCGAACTGGTTGTCTGAAATAGACACCATGATCTAATTAAATTATCATAACGAAGTCACCAAAAACTAGGTAGATAACTAAACAAAAGAACATCAAAGTTCAAATGAGAATACATTCCACTGTTTATTAAGTATTAAAATAAATATTTAATAGTTTAATCATTATGAGGTTATAAAAAAAATTGACGTTACTATTTATTTCACTTAAATATCTAATAATTTAAACATTCTCTGTTTCCCTGTTGAACATAACAAGGATACCCAACTAATCACATTCCATACGCAGATAAGTACGAGTATATTTCATTCATTGCATTTTCTTTCACTTAGCGCCTTTAATTAATTAGATTGAACTTAAATATACAGATAGTGTAAAGATTTTTTTTTTCTAGTAATATAATTTAATTCGGTATAATAACGGCCCGTTTGGCCATACAAAAAGATTCTTTTTTTTTTGGGAAATTTTTCACTTTTTTTTTCAAAATCAGTGTTTGGCCATGAAATTTATTTTTACTTGAAGATAAATTTCGAAATTTTGAAAAAATTTGAAAACTCCAAAAAAAAAACTATTTTTTAAAATTTTCACTTCAAATCACTCACAAAAATTCAAAAATAGCCCAAAATTATATTAATGTCCAAACACAATTCTAAATTTCAAATATCATGGTCACTTAAAAATAAATTTTACTTTTCTTTTTGTTGAAATTTTACCATTTTTATGTCTAAACACACACTAATAAGTACTAGTATATCTTATTTTCAGTAACTTGTTTTAATTATTTGTATTCTCTTTCACTTTGTTTGTCATAGTTTGATTTGATTTGACATTATTTCTTTTGTTTGATTGAGTCATGTGAATCTCATAACTTTATTGGGTCAATAATGAGACGAGACACTGACATGAGCAAAAAGTTAGGAGCACTTCTTTCTCCGCTCAAACTCATTTTTACTCTCTTTTTTGTCGTTTTCAAAGGAAAAAAACGTTTGGTATTTATATTTTGTAATTTTTTTGTGATATCTATTCGTAAAAGTTTAAATTTCGCACAAAATTAGCCATTATTTAAATTATTTTCTTATTTTAATATACTAATATGAAAGCCATACTAATATTAATATATTTAAGATCCAAATCTAGTCAAAGACATGTACATACCATATAATTGAAGAGTTTAAGTAAATCAGCTCACATACGTATGATAATCAGAGACCGATCCAGAACCCATTTGATTAACTGGTTCTAATCCATAATCCATTTGATTTACTGGTTCAAATTTTATTATTTATACTTAATTCCGTAATAGTTTAAACACATATAAAAGTTTGAATCAAAATTATTGAGTTTGAACGAACGAATAACTCATAACTTCATCAGCCTTTGAGGGCAACTTTATTACTAAAAGTTATAAATCATACCAAAATATGCCAGGAATTTTTATTTTTAAACTCCTTTCACGTTTCATTTTTAAAATTAACAATATCTCTATTTTCACATAATTCGAATCTCACCCGTGAAAGAAAATTCTTCCCCAAGATAAAATCTTTTTTTTCTTCTGTTTTTAATCATTCCATATTCGAACTCTTTTAGTCACATAATTCAGTTCACGTTTAATAAGTTTATAATGAGGATAAAGCGTTAACATATAAAAGAACTTTACCTCATGACTCATAACTCAACATTTCCGATACGAAATTGCGTTTTCAAAGCTTTCCGGGCGTGTAGGTTCGACAACGTTTACTCCTTCATCTTAAGCAGGGGCGGACATACGTTGAACGAAGTGGTATCATTCAACACCGCTTTATTGAAATTTTTTACTAAGCATATTGTTTAACCAAAAAATAGAATTTCGATCAAAGTTTTAATTTAGAAGAACTCGGGTTACTGATAATCAAAAGAATGTATGAAAGAAAGTAATTTGGCTAGCAATAAGATAATCAAAAGAAAATCAAGTAAATCGGTATATTCAGATAGTATTTCGTGTCCCTACAATTGATCTGTTCTCTCCCTTTTATAGCTATTTTGGAGATATGCGTTTTGCCTTTGTCATAATAAGGCCATTATAGACAATTAAAGACATTAAATGCTACGTTACATAATCATTATATTTAATACAGATTCTCTAACGTTTTTAGTATTTAAGGCTCATTAAATATTGTATCTGTACTCCCATGTAGTGTCAGATTCATTCCCCTTGATTCTTGGACTTAAAAAAGTACGAGCGCTGAGTCTTTTGGATAACCGCTCGTGCCTCTTCCTTTACCTCTGCTCGTATCTGTTGCAACTCGTGCCTCTTTGTCAGTTGCAACTCTTTGACCAGTCTATATGTCATGACATGTCATCTTTACACCACTTTAATATGAAACTCAATTTTTTCTAATACAGATAATCCCCCAACTTGCCATTTATTCATCGATTGAATATTTGGGAAGTAAATTTCATTAAAATGAGGATTTTTGTCACCATTAATGCTATGACAGAATCGATGCTTCAATTGTCACTTCCATTTAATGTTTTTCACATGTGTTACCTTTTCATTAGTTCTGCAGTTTTGCAGTACTTTTTAAGGCTTTTTCACGGCTTCACTATTCACGAAGCGTCAGTTATCATTATTATGGTCCTTCCATCATCGCACATTTTCCTTTGGCGGTTGCTTATCAATATAAATATAACTTCCTTCTTTGTCTTTACCACATAACGTTTTCTGAACATCCAATTTTCACAAATCTCTATTTGCTTCTTCATCGTATCATCATGTCTTCATCAAAACCTAACTCTAGAAGGGTTCCCATTGTTGATACCTTCCCTAATGCCCCCAGTAGGAGCAGAAGAGGAGGTAGGCTCCGTAGTTTAGGATCTGCACGCGGTTCTTCTATTCCTTCACCTAGTTCTTGCCCTTCTTCTAGAACTAGAGGTTCTCTTTCACAAAGATCTTCTTCTAGGGGTAAAGAACTTTT